GGCTGCGAAATTTATTGCCAGTGCACACCTCATAAACGGACTTATCCTGGCGTTATTTGTAACGCTGCAATCATTATTATTATTATTATTATTATTATTATTATTACGAGTATTATGCACGGTGCACGCGAGCGACGACCGAGCGCCGTCCGACCGTTTTACGACCAATCTGCCGTATATATTATATTATATACGCGTACAGCCTTCCGGCCACGGTGACGACCGTTCCGTTTCCAGCACGACCGTTTCCTCGCAGAATTCTGCCCACACTCGTCGCCGATATGAGTCCAACTCGAGATATCGATGCATTGAGATCTCGGGCGTTTAGTCTGTTTATAGCTACATACGTACTTTTTTTTTTTTGTCGTAGGCAACCGTAAAAATGGTCCTTTGGTAAATAATAATGTGATTATACTGCAATAACATACGAGTATGAGTGTACAGTATAAAATCTTTTTAAAATAACAAATGTCTATTACGTTAGTCGGATTACAAATGATGGTCTGGTCCAATCGTATTTGAATGAATATATTATCACGGGTTTAATTTTTAGACGACGAAAGTTCCTGAAATAGCGTCGTTATATTTTCCGTCAAGTTAAAATGTATAAATTTAAAAATATTAATAACAATAATTGGACACCTCTCCGGTAGACTGAAAATCGAAATCAATGCAGGTTTTTGAATAATTGTAGGTATACACATTGCAAATACATGATTCGACTGCAGCTCGTCTACATTTGATCCCCATAGATCCTCCCAGAAGCTACAGCATATGATTGTGTAACAGAATATAATGTTAAGTGCAGTACACATTTTATCGTTACAGAGAATCAGAGGCACAAAACCTATCGTACCATGCACTAGAAATTCCTCCTACGACGAATGCTGTCATGAATGACGAACGCATTTTACGCCAATCCCCTATTAAATATATGTACCAACATGTTTTTCAAATCAATTAAACGGCTAATTATAATCAAATACATTACAGACAAACGTTCGTACATATAGTAATATAATAAACGATGTAAAAAAATTAAAACAAAATAAATTCAAGACAATTATAAATCTAAACCTGTAATCTGATGGATTCATATGCTGAGTCGAGTGAAAAATGAATTAAATTATAGGTCCAATAAAATTTGATGAGCCACTAAAATATCATGTTAAGGGACCATTAGCTCGCTATTGATTAGTTAAATATTTAGTGATTGTTCATACCACCCCGGTGTCATAATCGGAATTGATACAATATTGTGTTAGTGAAGATTATTTATCCTATTTAATTAGCATAAACGTATCAAATATATTTTCATTGGCATTTGTTTTCTCGACCACTGAGGTATATTGGTAGTATAGTCGTATAGATGCTCGGAAGTAGTAATGTTAGTAAGATATTTGAGATTGTACGCATGAGTACAGTTTAAATTGTCTACATATTATACATTATAAATATATATACTATAAAGGTACCGATTCAAAAGTTATAATTCTGGAATTTAACAATAGTATTGATTCAAGTAAAGAAAAAAGAAACTTCAATTGTTTTCTCACTTATATACTATATCCATTACAATGTACATTGAATGGTAAATGAGAGATGAAAGATTGTCAATAATATTATATAATATATATTATTCCCCCATTATTGTGATGAAAAAATGACCGTTTGAAAAATAACTTGCACACTATCAGCTCATCGAATCGAGTAAAAATATAATATAAGAAGTGCAGACATAATAATATGCAGTAGGTACAACTTTATCGAATTACAATTATTTTGAATATTTATGGTATTTATTTATTTATTTATTAACTTTTAATTATAAAATTATTACTACTCCACAGGCCACAATTATTTACGTTTAACGACGTTGTATATTTTTTTTAAAACGACCGATAAAACATATTCATTCAAATGTTAATTCACTGTGGAACCATATAACTATGTATAAGAGTACGTATACGAGTTGTAAACATTTCCTTAATCGTATATACAACGATTAATTTAAATGATAATGTTAACTAATAAAAATTAATACCGGTTAAACATTGTTCGATAAATTATAAGTAGGTATTAAAGATTGTATTTTAAGAACACTACCTATATATAATAGCTGTTATACTAGGAGAATAAATCGCCAGCCAAGACATATCGAGCATTCGTCATTGCACTCTATAGTCTGGTTCGGTGCAGTCAATTAATAGATTAAAAATCACTATAAAAAATAATACATGAACCTGAGTCGTTTGGGTATTTTGTGAATCCGAGTTCTATTATTATCACTTCGAGAATAGACACTTATTATCTATTAGATACTAACAGCTGTGAATTAGTTGTATTCGGCTTGCGAGTATAAAAATTGTGTCACCATTTCAACAAATTAAAAGATTAAACAATTATAATTATTAAAATTAACAATAATTTTCATCACTTCACACATTTCATTACTTTTCAAGATAATGAGTGTCTTCCGTTAAAAATATCACCCAGCTAGTGATTCCCACTTCAGTTTGGGCACGGACATAAGTAATTATTAGTTCCTTTGACGCGTGCATAGTAAATATCCATCGATGTCATAAAAAATAAAACCACATCAGAAAGCTGAAGGTAAAAAAAATTATGATTTAGTAAGAATAATTATAAAAGACTATAGATATCTAGTCTATAATATTACACATCACGGCCAAGAGAGATTGAACTCCGAAATTAGTTATTTTGACAACATGTCATGATTTTTACCTGGAATATTTTTTCTATACTGAACCGGGTTCCGGTTTTTCGTTTTTAAAAAAATTAAGGTTTGAGTTGTTCAAAGAACCGGTTCTTTTCGGTTCGGTTCCATCTCTACATTGACATATCAGTTATCATTAGTATACAATCAATCGACATCCGAAATTACCGTTATCGCGAAATAAATGCAATTAATCGGAGATGCACTCTTTGACTGTTTGATCAAATACACGACTGTCCTTTATAGTAGTGTTTTATACATAATTACTTTGGAACTGAAAAAAATAGTTTCGAGGTTTGTGATTTTAGGTTGTCGCATACAAAACATTGATGTACAGTTTTATATAGATCACACAACTTACACAGGCGCCTGAGCGTGTTTGTCGCGATCATTGGGAGCCATCCCGTTTGGAAAACTATTAAACACTTTCTCAGAGATACCTTCAATAATTATAAAAATGTATCGATACACTGATGTCTGTAATATTAAAATTTAGGCAGCTGACGAGGCTGAAGGAAGTACATTCATTTAACTATACGAGCCTAGTTGGCGGGCGTTTAAGGTGTGTGTGTGTGTGTGTGTGTGTGTGTGTGTGTGTGTGTGTGTGTGTGTGTGTGTGTGTGTGTGTGTGTGTGTGTGTGTATAATGTGTATGTAAATGTACTTGTTCCTTAACAAACCCGACGTGACCACCTGTTGTACACGTGTGTCGTAGAAAAACGCTGAAATAGCCAAATTGCGTATCGATCTATCATGTAAGTGATTTTACTCACTTTATAGTCGGACCTCATGTGTTTATTTAATAATATAATATATATAAATGAATTGTTGCAAACAAGCGTGTGACGCAGTATGGTCGGGGTATAGGTAGATACACTAGATCGCGTAACTTTATACCGAGTACCTACCTAACTACCTATACTCGGGTCACCATAAAACGGTGGTGTTGTACAACAGGCGTATTTTTTCTTTCTACATATGAATTCTTTTTCTACGCCACCGGGACTTATTTGAAATAAATAGAAGACAACCTGTTTTTTTCTATTTATTTTCTTTTTTTCCCCTTTTTTTCGTCACTATCCGACATCGACATCGTATTGAATCGTGTGAAAACAACTGCAGGTAGTGCATTATAAAAACATCACATTACGTCCATTCATTGAACTAGAAAGACTGAGAAAAAAAAATAAGAATATGATATATTGGACAAACCGTAATCTGCAGGCGGCATAGTACAGCGCGGGACGGGTTGTGTGTGTTTCAGAACGCAGTATCTATCTATATTTCTGCAGTGTGCCAAATGAACGAAAAAAAAACAAATAGTTGGTTTATATTTTAATAATCGTATATAATATATATTATATATATTTGTATATTGTTCAACACACACACATACACATAATACATAGGTATTAGGTATGCATTTATTACAACTATAATAGTAAAAATTTAAACATAACACTTAATAAAAATATATAAATTTGAGTTGTTTTTCTTCAATAAATTCAAATAACAATCTTAAAAATTTAATAATATAATTAAAAACTAAAAATTAACAAAAATAATATATAATAATAAAAAAAAAAAAAATATAATAGACAACAGTATTACGAAGGCGCATAAAATTATATTGGTAACTTACACACAAGATGCTATAAAATATAATATTGTTTAAAACAAAAAAAAAAAAAATACATATATTTTACCATATTATTAAATATATTGTATAACGTAATCATATCGTATAATATTAATATATTTAATAGATCCGTTTAAAAAAATAGTATATAATAATCAAAACATAATAGTATATTCTATAATTTTAAAGCGTATAACAAAAACAAAAAATATTTACTAAAACTAAAACGATCGTATACCTAAGTATTATAATTGAATATTATTTATTTATATTGTAATCTAACACATTGTCTATATTATTTTTATTATATCCGTTTTAAGTAAGACTATTTATATCGTTTTCTCTATTTTTACAGATTTCATTTTACGTACCTATCGTCTTTTTGACTAGCTTTGCGATATTTTTTTAAGCACTTTGCGTGTACCGTATATATATATATATATATGCTGGTTGGATGCTGAACACATTATTATCATTATTATTATTCGGATCGACTATTTATAATTATTACCATCGTCGTCGTCCGTTCGACGGTACCTACATAATATAAGATATACAATATACATTATACGATATATTTTTATTCATCATAATATTATATGATAACATTTTCAGTAACATTATACAGAACATTGCGGTGGACGCAAATCGTTTCTCAATAGTTTTTTTTTTTGGATTTTTGTAGTTTTTCACCGTATTCCGTGCACAGAAACACCTCCGAAACACCCCAAAGCGAGAAATTTAACATAATTTTATTATTATTATTATATTATGTACATAATTGTATACGCACAGACGAACTTTGAGGTTCACTCTATGTGTACCTATTTATTAAAATAATATTTTTTTTTTATTATTTACAGTTGAAAATTAACCGAGATTTTATAACCGCCCGTCGGTAAACACGGGCGTTGAGAGCAAACAAAATAATAATAATAATAACCAAAACACACGCTTACACAATATCATAATCGTATATATAAATATAAGATATACAATAATAATTGATAATTTTTTTCCTTTTTCGTGTCCGCGCACTGCGCAGCATCCGAAGCGGCCGCGGCCGCACAGGGGAACCGGTTAGCGAGAAAACCGTATATTATCGAACTGGAAGTTAAAAAAAAAATAATACGCGCACACAAGTGGATACGTGAGTGTGTGCGAGCGTGTGTTACGAGTGAAAAAAAACAAACCGTATATAACGATTTCATCGACCGGTTTTCGTCCTGCACACACAGACACACACACACACACCGGCTGAATCTAGAGCATCCTGCTCGACGCGTTTTAAATATTATGGTAATGCGAAATGCACTATTGGCCGATAGAGAAACCGTTTTCTAATACACTATACCTACCTACCTCTTTACCTGCACAGCCGTCGTCGTCCGATTCGTTTGACACGAGTGCACCACCAAGTCTGTAAAGCGTGATATCTCTCGGGATACTCTTTTCGCCCCCGCTCCCAGTTCACCAGACCCACCTGTGCCGTCCGCGTCCGGAAGCTTTTCATTGTTCTCGCGAGCGAAAAGCGAGTAAAAAAATATTTTAACCTCAAGGCGCATGTCGTCGTGTGGCGAGCGTCGTCGTATTTATCAAACGCTGCTGAGTAAGCGAAAAGACTTTTCTGTCGCCGATTTTCCGTAATGGAACGATTGATGAAACGTGTCTCGATGGGACACGCCGATCGAACCTATACGTAATATATCATCATGTCCGCCGGTGTGCTACACTGCGTTTATACAATTATAAAAATTCCTATACGAGTTTTTAAGTTAATATTATTATAATGGATTTAAGTCTTTTAGTAAATTCTGTTACGATCGAAACAAAAGTGTGAGGATCGCGGTGGGTCAAAATCGAAACTTAAAATATAACATAATATAGTCAAACGAGAATAACATATTATACGTATTGTTATAATATTAAAATGGATTCGGCATGTTAGGTATACGTACCGCTGATAATATTGTCAAAAGCTGGTAAAACGGTCGCAGTTGACACATTACATGCCTATCCAATGCGAGGAGCTAATCGCGACGATATACCTGTTATTATCACAGAACGATCGCAGTCGATTGCGGGGGGGAGCGAGTTTACAAAAATATAATAATATATGTAAATCTTAATAACCTGTGTAGATTCTACGACATAAAATACTTACACGCGACAATAACAATATGATAAACTTTATATATATATAAAAATAATAATAATAATACAATCCTCGACTAAAAACTATGTACATGTACCACTAAAATTACTAAAATATTGTATTAAAAATCATGTTATTCGTATTATATATGTTATTCGTTACCTCGTCGAAAATTGCGTAGTGATAAAATGGAACGATACGATATTATAACGTAGGTAGAAAAAAAAATTATCTTCGCTGGGCTGTTTACGCACCCACGGAGATGCGTCCGCCGCACTTAATGGGGTGCTGCACATCATGTCGTCGTCGTAGCCGTCGGTATCAACCGCGTCGTCGACGGTCGGTGCCGGTAACCGCGTATGTGGTATCAGCGCGACGATCGCGATTGGAAGCCGTCGCGACAGTGTCCGCAAAGGCGGAGGGTCAGGTGCTGTTGACGCACTCCTTTTCGGCGGCCGCGGCGGCTGCGGCGGTGGCGGACGCGTCGGCCGCGCCCGAAGACGATTCCATGGAACCAGCCGACGAGGCGGAAGACCGGGACGAGAACCTTTCGGCCGGCGGTGCGTCGCCCGCCGAGCCGCGGCGGTACGGGCACGAAGCGGACGTCGTCGACTGTCGCCTCCCGCCGGCCGGATGCGCGTGTCCGCCCCGACGGTGGCCGATGGCCGCGGCCGCCGCTGCTGCTGCGGCCGCTGCGGCGAACCTGCTGCCGTCCTCGCTCACCTTGCCCATGAACGATCGGATCTCTTCGAAGTAGGACTCGTCGCCGGCGCCGGGGCCCCGGGACGGGCGCCTCCGATCGGCCGCGACCGCTGCGGCCGCTGCGGCCACCACGGCCGCGGACGAGGACAGCCGGTCGTCCATTATGGTCGGCCCGTCGGCCTCGTGCTTCTTGAGGTGCCGGTCCAGGTTGGTCTGCTGTCCGAAGCACCGCTCACACAGCGGACACTTGAACGGCTTCTCCTTGTTGTGAATGTTGCGCACGTGTCGCTGCAAGTTGGACGATATGCTGAACGACCGCTCGCAGTAGTTACATTTGTACGGCTGCTCGCCCGTGTGCGTTCGCAAATGCCTGGTGAGGTTGGCACTGCGCGGGAACACTTTCTGGCAAAACTTGCACGAGTACCTGTAGCACAGAACGCATACACAATGTTGTTAGTAAAACATATTATTAACTTTTTACCACTGAGACCCGATCGGACACGGGTGCAATACACTTTATAAAGGAATAAAAAAATATGTATCAAAATTTGCCTCACAGAAATATACGTGACCATATTTATTTCATCAAAATAAATAATCACGCGTTAAAACGAATAATTTTGAAAAAAATTTACCGTCGAGTTGCGGTTTTCCGACACGTCCTCACTCCCCACTCGCACTTATTGCTGCCCCTAAACGACTGCTGCACGCACTACTGCCTAGCCACCCCCCCAACCATAGCGCCATCCTAACGTGCCACGACCTAACCCAAATTGCGCGTGCTCCGTTTGTTGTAATATTTTTTATTATTGTCATCATCGACCTACCTGTCTTTCGGTTTTCCAGACGTCTCCTGGAACGCTGACGGCTTCTGCTGCGGTGATCTGGCCACAGGTGGCGGTAGTGGAGGTGGCGGAGGCTGTCTGACAACGTCGTAGGTTGGCGGCGGCAAGTGGTGGTGCCCGTTGAGCAGTGGCGAGTTGATGAACGGATAATGCTGCGACGATCTGTGGTAACCGCTACCTGTCTGGTAACCGGCCAGCGACGAAGGCATCCGGGACTTGTCGCCCACAGCGCCCGCCCTGTATATGGCCTCCAACATCATGGGATGAAGCGGCTGCGGCGGGAACAGCACCGGATAGTTGACCATACGCTGGTGGTGATGCCGTTCGTCTTCGACGGTTATGCCACCACGGCGGTGATGTTGCTGCTGTTGTTGTTGTTGTTGTTGTTGCTGCTGCTGTTGTTGCTGCTGCTGCTGTTGGTGCTGTTGCTGTTGATGCTGCTGCAGCTGGTTCTGGTTCTGGTGGTGTTGAGATGGTTGGAAGTGGTGGTGGTGATGATGGTGGTCGTCGGTCACGTTCACTTCCTTATCAGACGACGAACAGGGGCTGTGCACTACGGCGCTGCGGTCGCTGTGGTCGGCTCGGTGAGACGCGTATCGTTGAAGGTCAGCGGACGGTGGTCCGGGACTGTCGACTTCGATGTCCTCCGGGGACGGCGTCCTGATGATCAGGTTCTGGTTCTCGTCTTCCATTTCGTCGCCGCGACGTGACTTTTTGTAGTCGACTCGCAGGTCGAGTGGTTGGTCGTTGTTGACGCCGGCACCACTGCCGTCGTACGGTTTGAACGCGGCAGGTGACATGCGGTGCGACCGGAGCGGCGACCGTGGAGACGATGACGGTGAGCTGCCACCGTTGCGTGACAAGTCGAACGGCATCATGTCCTCGTCATCCTCGTCGTCGTCATTGTCCGCGGCTGAGCCGTCGTCGTCGCGGTGATGACGATGGTCCGGCTGGTCGTGGTGCCGGCGGTGATGATGGTGATGGTGGTGAGCCGGGTACACGGAGCCCTGTTTGGGCGACACGCACGGCACCACTGCGGGCGCGGTGACCATCTTGCGCGGGCTCGAGTGCTTCTCGCGCATGCTGGACGGGTCGCGCGGATGCGCTACTGATGGGACCACGGGTCGTGGGTAGTAGGTGTACCACGCCGGAGGAGACGTGTCCACCACGCTCATCACTTTGGCCACGCCGTCTGCGAAAACATCAAAAATAAAAATTATTTACTAATTATTGACGTGTGTTAATGCGTTACATATTTACGTCATGTTTCGGGAATTAGGGTAATACTATACAGTAAGTTAGAATATAATGTGAATATTTAAAATAAACTATTGTTATTATTATTATTTGATTATTGCATTTAGTACGTATGTCACTGCAAGGCAAATAGAGGAACATTTCTAATTCGAAATTTTAAGACACCGACATTCTCCAAATCATTTCGACGTAGATACATAATATTATAGTATCAAATAATTAAAAAGACACAAGTTGCAGCAGTATAGTACTTTACTATATACATCGGTAGCTTAAATAATATTATTGTAATTTTTTTAGCAAAAAGGTCACATAAGAACGTTTAAAATGCACGAATACCGACGTATATAATTTAGACAGTGTAAGTATATATAATTACAAAATAATACAGTTTGGTAATCAATTTTTGTTTGAAACCAAATAACTACTAATAAGTTTCGCGTTTAATAGTCATGGTTTAACGTCTTCACTATATGGTCTATCCAATTAAGCGATTTAAATAAACAAAAATCACAATGCGCTATGTGGAATGTTTGACAAGAAAAAAAACACGTTGTACCTACCTATCTCTATGACTTATGAAATAGTTCTGTAGACGGATGCGCTGAAGGTGACGCGTCATCATAGTATAATCGTCATCGCGTCATCACCGTCTGTCTCGTGTGTGACATAGCGATTACATATCATATATACATTTTTTTTTGATCCGACTGGAAAACCCGAGAACACGTGTGGGGGGGGGGCGAAAAGGGTGGCACATTATGTGTGAGTATACGTACAATATAAAACGGTTTAAAAAAATTCTCCGCTCACAACGTGACGCAATGTGGCCGCTCGGTGCACCGGTGCACCGGTGCACTTACGCTCTGTAACACACACACACACACACACATACATAAACGCGGCTATAATTGCCGTCTGGACGGACTATACGACGACGGCGACAGACGACGAGACCAACTGCAATTTTAACGAGGAGCGGCGCAAAAATTTGGTCCGTGTAAACCCGGTAGCCCGTCCGAGAATTATCACATGTCGTGTTTGAAAGTACACATACGTCGTCGCAGTAGTAGTCGTCATTGTCGTCGTCGTCGTCGTCGTGTAGAGGTACATATGGTATGTACTATAACAGAGGTAGGGACATGTGCTCCGTGATATTGTTAAATTCGCCAAGTTTGACGAAGACGGAGGAGAAGAATAAAAAAAAATAAATAACTACTCGTCGTCGCTCCGATTTTCTCCCGGCGTGTATTATATATGTTATTATACATTATATTATTATTGTGGAAGAAACTTCCAATTATGTAACGTTATTTGTTATTTTTTTTCCCCGTCTGAATGCGGATCGCAATTTTCGTTTTTCGTTTTTATTTTTTTCACGTCGTCCACCGCGCGGACTTTTCGCTAACGAGCGCCCCGCGACGAAACGAAACCCGTTTATCGCATTTCCAAATCGGTTTCGGCCGATAAAAAAAAAGTTAAAAAAAACCTTTATATATAATAATAATAATAATAATAATAAAATAATCCACGACAAAATCCCAAGTACCCGCCGTTCACGTAACCAGTGTATTATATTATTACAGTATAATGTATATGTAGGTACATTGTACATGCGAGCGTTTTTTGGCGAATCCCGACGAAAACTAGACCGCGGTGACTCCGCGAATCCGGAATCGCTCCCCTGCAGCAGTCGGCCGGGACGAGATCGGCAACAAGTCGATCGATCGATCGATCTACGTCTCGTTAAATCAGACCTCGCGACCGCCGCACACCGCAGTACATTGATCGTATACATAATAATATAATATACATTATTTATTTGTCGTACGAACGTTTTTATAATAGTAATGGTTAAATAATAATAATAATAATAATATAATAATAATTGTCCGACGATCGCCGTGACGCGATTGGAAATCACACCCGGACGATGCACGTGCAGCTTGCAGACGATGGTAATATATTAAAATAACATGGCTCGTTTTTAGTACGAAATTTCAAAATTCACTCCAGTCACAGTGACGATGGAAAGTTATTTGGTTTGTAGCTGGCCAACGCTTGTCACGCGCATAATTATAAATTGTGTTTAGCTGTACATAGAATGTCTGAAGGCTCATAGTAATAATATTATAATGATAACAGCAAGAGACACACATAAATAATTGTCTGCCTGCGTATATATAGGTTTTGTCTGGAGGATTTGACAATATTTTACTGAACAAAATTATTACACTACCCGACTATCGCGTTATTATACCAGTCGCCTAATAGATACACGAATACACCCTGTATACAATAAACGACATATTATAGCCGCACTTGTCGTTTAAAAAGGGATTATAAATTTTGTGAGCATCGTTATGTCCCTTTGACCGGACAAACTTCGAACAGGATGCCTTTGGTCCCGTCCTTTTAGTAGATATAGTTGTATTATATCCATATTAGGTATCTATTATACTCGTAGGTATGCGTGAAAAAAAAACAAAACAATATCATGTTTACTGTTTTGCATTAGGTAAATTATAAAAACCTAGATTAATAGTGATGTACAACTATTTTTGTTTTTTTTTTTTAAGTAGTTTGTATCAACATCATTATCGTATTTAGGTCACCTATTATTCCTAAAGATTGATATTCTGCAGAGAAATTACAGGAAAATGTAGTCCGATGACTACACATTTTGTGGAGTAATTTTTCCAGCGATAATTAAATAGTCGATTCGCCCGAACGCTGACCGATTGCAGTTATATAAGGCAAAAGAAACCGACGAATTGTGGCTTACACTATAATATTGTTTTTCATCGACGATATTTGTTGATTATTATCGACTTTTAATGCATAGGCAATACATTTAAATCTCCGAGCGAGAGTTACGTTCAAAATATATGTCGTAAAAAACAAATACTATGGTACCTATATCGTATATTATTATAGATTGGTAAATTCTACCTACTTACATCGCAACGTATTAATGTATATTATCTATGTGATCCGACGAAATTCTCGTTATATCATTATATAATCGTTCCACGCTCGCTTATAAATTTTAATGATATATATATATGTATTTATATAATTATTAATTATTATACTCAGCCCACGATTTACTACTGAATAATAATCGATCAATAATGTGAGGTTGCACATAATATTATGACGTCGTGATAAAAAAATAAAACCACACGTTGTCATGTGTGGGTGAAACGAATAAACTGAAATAAGCGTAGTGATATTATATTACTTATGTTATGCATATAGGTACATCTGCTCATATCGGTAATGACTGAAAACAAGATAAATTCAAAATTCTGAAACTTTCCCACATAAACTGTAAGTATGTATTAAAGGTACAGAATCGGTACACAATACGTCATATTAATATAATATACAAGTCCAATATTATAGCGAAAGTACTCTGCCATTGGACTGTAATTTTCCGAAATACAGATGGTGGAGATCAGTGTTCATATATGGAAATATGTTCCATCGCGTGACATTGTAATAATATTATACCGTACGATATCAAATCGTTTGGACGAAGGCATGTTATATGCGATAGGTAGTCTGCAAATCGCTACTTTGTATTCGTCGAAGTCGAACCCGACTTGATGGTTTGGAGATGATGCATAATATTTACGGTACAGTAGACAGTTATTTCCACGGAGCTCCTCCGCTGCTCCTGCAGTATCATAACTTTATTACAAATGATAATAATAATATGATGCGGCAAAGACCTAAAACCGAAAGGAAACAAAAAAAAAAAAAAAAATACCTAAACCTATAACAATCGCTCGGATTCGCGCTGCACTTGCACAACCGTTCTACAGGTGCTACTGCAGCCCGGTCGTCCGTGTAATATACGAGCGGCATTGTTGTCGGACAATTATTACTATTATTATTGCCTATCGTACACCGTCGCGCACGTGCTCTGAGTCCGTTATTATTTTACTGGTCTCGTCGCGCAATAATACGATCGCATTATACACGATATTAATATATATATATGCATACAGCATACACACTATACATTTATATACGAGTATACGACACAATAACATAATGTACTTTACGAGATGATGAACACCGTATTTATACGCGCGGCGGCGATCGTTACTCGCGCAATAATAATTATTACATCTGTATACGCTCGATACTGTACCTATATAATATATATATATGTACAGTGGTCGCCGCTTATTGGACTCACGGTTAATTGACTCATTCGCATATTAGACTCAAAACGGTTGGTCCCGATTCGCACGGTTAGGTTAGGTTAGGTTTTTGAGTCATTCGCCTTATTGACTCTTTCGGTTAATTGACTCAAATTGTCGGGTCCCAAAGTGAGTCCAATAAGCGGCGACTACTGTATATATATATATATATATATTATATATGATGTATGTACAATAATAATAACAATAATATAATAAACTGCCGACGGATTTTTTTTCTCGCCGACGTTACGTAATAATACAACCGCGACGATTATATTACATCTCGTTATTATATTATTATACCTATATACAAGACCGGCCATATCATTGTTCTTTGTATTCGCTTGTATATTGGGAACTAGAACGGTTTATTATTATTATTATACACCTGCGACCGTTGTAGAAGTGGTAGACACTGGTAGTCGTTTACTCGCTACTGTACGTACACAGATAACGCGGTCGATATCGGTGAGAACCTCGACATCGGTATTTTGATATAGATTATATTAGGTCAGTATTATAATAGTCATTATGCCTAGCCGATATAGGTATATCATTTGGATCCTCGCGCAATGAGCAATTTCGGTTTTCGTCACACTCCGCGGCCCGCGGGCGAGTGTCGAAATCTGTATATTTTCTGACCCCGGCGATAATATACAACAATACCTAATGAAAACTGGCTGACGTCGAGACGTTCGGTTTTCGTATTTTTTTCGCG